AGGAAGGAGCACAAGGACAAGGGGGAAATGTGGGAGCCGATGCTGCATACTGCCCCTGCCCCACGAGAGACGCGAGGAAGGTTAGCTTTTTGAATTATACCAATCTGGCTCAACACCTGACTTCATGCATCCTGCAGTCCTACTCAGACTTTCGGACCTAAATATCTCCTTTTACCATTTTTGATACTTGCAGCACCACCAAGGGGTCGCAGCGCCAGCTGCTCATGGATCGTCAGCACCCGCGCCCCAGTATTCTGCAGGAAGCGGAGTCTATACCGGAGGAGTTGGACACGCCATTTCCAGCTATGGACGATGATGATGGACATGATCCATCTCCTGGCTGCATTAGTTGCGCCATTATTTAATCGCAGATTATCCACTCAAAAAGCAATGTGATTTTGTTCGTGTGTCGTGGTCGTGATCAATAAATATGCAGCACAATTTGTTTGAAAAACCTCGAAACATGAAAGGTTGACCTGCATGAGCAGAGATCACTCTGAATTCTATCACTCAAGCAAGTTACAATACAATTATAAAAGAGATCGATTCACTACATAGAGCAAATTAGCTGACTTTCAGGCTCCACTTGTCTGTCAAACGACAGAAATCACTATGTTTTATCCTCTACAATATTTTCCTTCCTAATCCCAACTCTATATGTAAGTGCCCTGCTTCCACTATGTTTCAATCAGCATGCTTACTTACCCCCGTGCAAACTCCCAGCTTCGTAGATCAAACTCTGCAAAAAAGTCTTGAAATCGATGTCATTGATGAAGAAAGCCTATAACACCTGCTCCGCCTCGAAGTGAATGTGTGCAAAGTTTGGTCTGGATCGGTTCAAAAAATGGATTTTTTGTTCGGTAACTCCTGAGAGCTGCCTTTTGGACAGAGAATTTATATGCATTTTTCGCTTCAAAATACATAAAAAGTCACATTTTGTATGTTGGTTCACAGATTTTTCGAGTACTCGTTCGACTCCGATAAAGGTCCTAGGATTCGTTGAGGTTTTGCAATGAATGCGGTGAGGGCGCTTGAGTAATCTTTATGCAGTCTGATTTCGATAAAGGAACCTCTTATCCATGTGTGTGATCCTGCACGACTTCTGATCGAAAGTTAAAATTTTATTTGCGTGACTACATATTTATGGAGTTGCCTGAATCTTCGTGAAGATGTTGTTGCAACATTGGAGTTGTAATGCTTTACCTGCACTTCAGGCGCAGTGGATCTAACATGACTCCAAAATTTTACCCCTTTCAACTCCTTATTCAAGCTTAACTGTTGGGATTACTAGAATTCTAGAGTTTTGACAGGTCTGGTCAGAGCGGTCTTTATTTCGCAGAGTGCACCACTGCAGTTTAGTTTTGCATGAAGAGCACAAGTGGAACCGGAATTAGAGCTGTGATAATGTCCGACAATGCGCAACTTTATCTTTGTACGGACGACGTACACAGCACATCACAGAACTTTTCGGTCAAGAGAGCCCGAGTTCTGCGGTTTGAATGCCCATTTGAATATTTACTGCGATAGGTCATAAGTTTTCGAATTCTAGATGGGCTTCATAATGTTATTCGATATAGAGTAGAGTAAGCTTTACAAGATAGCATTTTTGCTTTTGCACCAGCTTTGATTCATCTCTTTGAAGCGAATATCACAAAAATTCAACTGCATGAAGAATCGAAAAAATTGTGACTCCGTCAAAAAATCCTTCGAAGATTCTACTTGCTTACTCATACACCTTCCACATCAGACATTTAATGTAAAATTACTGTATTTTATCTCTGTTAAAAACCAAGAAA